TATATATATATATATATATATATATATATATATATATATTTATTTATTTATTTATTTTGGTAGCAGTCTTCCCTGTAGACATATATAATTAAATATGACCGAAAAAGTAAGATTAATAATTCTAACACGAATTTTCTCGATCTTTCTTACGTTTCTTTTCACTGTTGGTGGTAATTCATAAATCAATTCTCCAAAATTCATTTTTATTTCTAGTCTGACGCGACACTTGAGCGCGTTTCGTAAAACTTATTACATTTTCAAAGACTTTAGTTTAAACACACACACACAACTTTAACTGAATAGAGCTTAAACATCTTCGAGTTTTTATACCTACATTTGGGTGAGGTGACATGTTACAATAGTTTTGGATGAAGTGAAAATAAACTTTTAATGCAAGACAGGACACGAAACAATGGGTATAAAAGGTAGGTAACTGCAGAAGGCCTATTTTTATTGGCCCATATTTCTTGATGTTTCTATATTGGAGCGGAGTCTTGAAGTGGGTAGAATATAGTTGTGCATTAATTGGCTGTTGATTGCTGGTGTTGACTTCCAAAGGAATTTGTTGACTTACTGCCGGGAACACGGGCCACAGGGATAAGAGCCTCGTTGGACGTTGAATCACTGTTTACCAACGTACCTGTGGATGAGACAATAGGGATGATAGTCGACAGAGTGTATCGTGATCCGGCCTGCACTCCTCTTGACATACCAGAAAAAATTCTAAGGAAACTACTCCAAGCTTGTACTAAAGAGGCACCCTTCTTCTCACCCTTCATATATATATATATATATATATATATATATATATATATATATATGTCGTACCTAATAGCCAGAACGCACTTCTATGCCTACTATTCAAGGCCCGATTTGCCTAATAAGCCAAGTTTTCATTAATTAATTGTTTTTCGACAACCTAACCTACCTAACCTAACCTAACCTACCTTTTTCGGCTACCTAACCTAACCTTACCTATAAAGATAGGTTAGGTTAGGTTAGGTAGGGTTGGTTAGATTCGGTCATATATCTACGTTATTTTTAACTCCAATAAAAAAAAATTGACCTCATACATAATGAAATGGGTAGCTTTATCATTTCATAAGAAAAAAATTAGAGAAAATATATTAATTCATGAAAACTTGGCTTATTAGGCAAATCGGGCCTTGAATAGTAGGCATAGAAGTGCGTTCTGGCTATTAGGTACGACATATATATATATATATATATATATATATATATATATATATATATATATATATATGTCGTACCTAGTAGCCAGAACGCACTTCTCAGCCTACTATGCCTTATTAGGGCCGATTTGCCTAATAAGCCAAGTTTCCTGAATTAATATATTTTCTCTAATTTTTTTCTTATGAAATGATAAAGCTACCTATTTCATTATGTTTGAGGACAATTTTTTTTATTGGAGTTAAAATTAACGTAAATACATGACCGAACCTAACCAACCCTACCTAACCTAACCTAACCTATCTTTATAACCTATCTATATAAGCAAGGTTTTCCTGAATTTATATATATTTCTAATATTTTTTCTTATGAAATGATAAATCTATTCCTTTCATTATGTTTAAGTTAATTTTGTTAAATTTGAGTTAAAACTAATGTAGATATGTGACCTAAACTAACCAACCCTACCTAACCTAACCTAACCTATCTTTATAACCTATCTATATAAGCAAGGTTTTCCTGAATTTATATATATTTCTAATATTTTTTCTTATGAAATGATAAATCTATTCCTTTCATTATGTTTAAGTTAATTTTGTTAAATTTGAGTTAAAACTAATGTAGATATGTGACCGAAACTAACCAACCCTACCTAACCTAACCTAACCTATCTTAAAGTAATTTAAACTAACACAACTAAGTCAATAATTTATGTTCTAAATATAATATAATAATAATAATTCAAATTAACTAATTGGAAACAATTTATTTGGAAACAATTTCGGCCTGTTAGGCAAATCGAACCTTGCATAGTAGACCGAGAAGTGCATTCTGGCTACTAGATACGACATATATGTTGTACCTAGTACCCAGAACGTCGTACGTGGCCTACTATGCAAGGTCCGACTTGCCTAATAAGCCAAGTTTTCCTGAATTTATATATTTTTCCAATTTTTTTTCTTATGAAATGATAAATCTGTCCATTTCATTATGTATAAGTTAATTTGTATAATTTTGAGTTAAAACTAACGTAGATATATGACCGAACCCAACCAACCCTACCTAACCTAACCTAACCTATCTTAACCTAACCTAAACTAACATAACTAAGTCAATAAATTATGGTCTTAATATAAAATAACAATAATAATTCAAATAAAATATTTGGAAAAAAATATTGAAAATAAAGAAAATATTCAGCCTATTAGGCAAATCGAAGCTTGCATAGTAGGCCGAGAAGTGTGTTCTGGCTACTAGGTACGACAAATATATATATACATATATATATATATATATATATATATATATATATATATATATATATATATATATATATATATATATATATATATATATATATATATATATATATATATATATATATATATATATATATTTACCCAAGGAATATAGGACATTACCTGAAGGAGGGTAAGGGCCTTAGAGCATTCAACTCGGAGTTAAGATATATGGGGCGACCAAGACAAACGAGTGTCAAAGATTAACCCCAAAAGCTTAGCGGAATCCATGTACACAAGGGGGTGACCATAAAGGGACAAAAAAGGACGAAGAACGACACGCTTCCGAGTGAAAGTCATAGCACAAGTCTTAGACGCAGAGAACCTGAAGCCATGATCCGTGGCCCAAGACGACATGGCATCAATCGCAAGTTGAAATCGGCGTTGAAGGAGAGGCGAATCATCACCCTGACAGCAAAGAGTAAGATCATCGACATAGAGAGCGGAGAAGATGCCAGAAGGAAGAGAGGAAAGAAGACCATTGAGGGCAACCAGAAAAAGAGTAGTGATCAGAACGCTACCTTGGGGCACACCCTCATATTACCTAAAAGGAGGAGAGAGAGTGGTACCAAGCCTCACTCGAAAGGAACGACGAGAGAGGAAGCTTCGGAGAAAGAGAGGGAGATTATCATGAAGGTCAAAAGAATGAAGTTGGGACAGAATATGGTATCGTCAAGTGGTGTCGTAAGCCTTTTCCAGGTCAAAAAGGACAGCAACAACAGAGGTCTTCGCAGCAAAAGCAGTACGAATATAGACCTCCAAGTTCACCAGAACATCTGTCGTGCTGCGGCACTTGCGGAAACCAAACTAAGAAGTGGAGAGAGTGTAAGTCTTCTAAGAACCACATCAGAGGAACGTTAACCATACGTTAAAAGAGTTTGCAGACACAACTCGCGAGGGCTCCCAGACCTGATTATACAGACTCAGTAAATACCGAGACATGCACGGAGGGAGATAGCGAATTATCTCATAATGAATGCCTTCGGAGCCCACCGCCGAAGAACCCAAGAGGGCCAGGGCAGAACGAAGTTCAGAGAGAGAGAAGGGATTGTTATGGGGAAATCTGAGAGGAGTGCAGAAATCTAAAGGACGAGATTCAAAGACAGGTTTACGAAGGAAAGATTGAGGAAGATGAGAACCAGAGCTAACAGAAGAAAAGTGGGAACCCAGTTCGGTAGCGACCTGCAACGGGTCTGCCTCAAGAGTACCATGGAGGTGAAGGACCGGTGAAACATCGGGAACGAACTTACCCGCTATCTTGCAGATACACTTCCAGATCTGTGGCAGGGGAGTGTCGGACGTGATGGTGGAGACATAAGACTTCCATCAATGTACACAAGCATCATTATACATAAATTTCATTATACATAAGCATCATCATACACAACTATCATTATACACACGCATCATTATACATAAGTAGCGTTATATACAAATATTATTATGCACAAGCATCATTATACATAAGTATCATTATACATAAGTATCGTTATATACAAATATTATGCACAGGCATCATTATACACAAGCATCATTATACATAAGTATCATTATACACAATCATCCTTATACATAAGTTTCGATATATAGAAGCATCATTATACACACGTATCACTATACACAAATTTCATTATGCACAAGAATCATTATACACAAGCATCATTATACACAAGCATCATTGTACACAAGTATCGTTATATACAAGCATCATTATACATAAGAATCAATTTTCAGAAATATCATTATACACAAGTATCATTATGTACAAGCATCATTATGTATAAGTATCAATATACTCAAGGATCATTATACACAAGTATCATTATACTCAAGCATCATCATACATAAGTATCAATATTCACAAGTATCAGTATACCGAAACATCATTATACACAAGTATCATTATACACAAATATTATTCACAAGTATCATTATACACAAATATTATTTACACGTATCATTATACCCAAGCATTATTGTACAAAAGTATCATTATACGCAAGTATCATTATTCGCAAATATCAGTGTACACAAGAATCATTATACACAAGTATCATCATACACAAGAATCATTATACACAAGCATCATTATACACAAGTATCATTATACACAAGATTCATTATACGCAAGTATCATTATACACAAACATCATTATACACAAGTATCAACATACACAGGTATCATTATAGACGTTCCTTCTCCATTAACCATCCCATATATCACTCCCTCATTACTATACCCCTTCTCCTTTCCATTTCCCCTATTACATCCCCCTCCTAGCCCCATCCTCTTCCACTGCAGCCTCCTCTCCCCCGGCTGCCCCCTCACACCAATGGACTGTGTAATTGGTCCTCGCTCCCCTTTTTCACTCTGGACATGACATTCCAATATCGCGGCCAAATCGGTACATGGCGCGACACCCTACTCCCCTTCCCCACTCCCCCGACCCCATCTCCTCACTGCTCTCTCCTCCCCACATCCCTCCTCACTCTCTCCCAGTCTCCTCTTGCCTACTTCTTCTCCCCACCTCCAATTCCTCCTCTCCTTCCGTCGTCTAGTTCTCTTAGATTGGTGTACTGTTGCTGTTTGTCGCCCTCCACCTTATCCTCCGTGCAGCTCGCATAATCCTCCACCTTATCCTCCGTGCAGCTCGCATAATCCTCCACCTTATCCTCCGTGCAGCTCGCATAACCTCCTCCGTGCAGCTCGCATAATCCTCCATTCTCCGTGCAGCTCGCATAATCCTCCACCTTATCCTCCGTGCAGCTCGCATAATCCTCCACCTTATCCTCCGTGCAGCTCGCATAATCCTCCACCTTATCCTCCGTGCAGCTCGCATAATCCTCCACCTTATCCTCCGTGCAGCTCGCATAATCCTCCACCTTATCCTCCGTGCAGCTCGCATAATCCTCCACCTTATCCTCCGTGCAGCTCGCATAATCCTCCACCTTATCCTCCGTGCAGCTCGCATAATCCTCCACCTTATCCTCCGTGCAGCTCGCATAATCCTCCACCTCCTCCGTGCAGCTCGCATAATCCTCCACCTTATCCTCCGTGCAGCTCGCATAATCCTCCACCTTATCCTCCGTGCAGCTCGCATAATCCTCCACCTTATCCTCCGTGCAGCTCGCATAATCCTCCACCTTATTCTCCGTGGAGCTTGCATAATCCTCCACCTTATCCTCCGTGCAGCTCGCATAATCCTCCACCTTATTCTCCGTGCAGCTCGCATAATCCTCCACCTTATCCTCCGTGCAGCTCGCATAATCCTCCACCTTATTCTCCGTGCAGCTCGCATAATCCTCCACCTTATCCTCCGTGCAGCTCGCATAATCCTCCACCTTATCCTCCGTGCAGCTCGCATAATCCTCCACCTTATCCTCCGAGCAGCGCGCATAATCCTCCACCTTATCCTCCGTGCAGCTCGCATAATCCTCCACCTTATCCTCCGTGCAGCTCGCATAATCCTCCACCTTATCCTCCGTGCAGCTCGCATAATCCTCCACCTTATCCTCCGTGCAGCTCGCATAATCCTCCACCTTATCCTCCGTGCAGCTCGCATAATCCTCCACCTTATCCTCCGTGCAGCTCGCATAATCCTCCACCTTATCCTCCGTGCAGCTCGCATAATCCTCCACCTTATCCTCCGTGCAGCTCGCATAATCCTCCACCTTATCCTCCGTGCAGCTCGCATAATCCTCCACCTTATCCTCCGTGCAGCTCGCATAATCCTCCACCTTATCCTCCGTGCAGCTCGCATAATCCTCCACCTTATCCTCCGTGCAGCTCGCATAATCCTCCACCTTATCCTCCGTGCAGCTCGCATAATCCTCCACCTTATCCTCCGTGCAGCTATAATCCTCCACCTTATCCTCCGTGCAGCTCGCATAATCCTCCACCTTATCCTCCGTGCAGCTCGCATAATCCTCCACCTTATCCTCCGTGCAGCTCGCATAATCCTCCACCTTATCCTCCGTGCAGCTCGCATAATCGTGCACCTTATCTCCGTGCAGCTCGCATAATCCTCCACCTTATCCTCCGTGCAGCTCGCATAATCCTCCACCTTATCCTCCGTGCAGCTCGCATAATCCTCCACCTTATCCTCCGTGCAGCTCGCATAATCCTCCACCTTATCCTCCGTGCAGCTCGCATAATCCTCCACCTTATCCTCCGTGCAGCTCGCATAATCCTCCACCTTATCCTCCGTGCAGCTCGCATAATCCTCCACCTTATCCTCCGTGCAGCTCGCATAATCCTCCACCTTATCCTCCGTGCAGCTCGCATAATCCTCCACCTTATCCTCCGTGCAGCTCGCATAATCCTCCACCTTATCCTCCGTGCAGCTCGCATAATCCTCCACCTTATCCTCCGTGCAGCTCGCATAATCCTCCACCTTATCCTCCGTGCAGCTCGCATAATCCTCCACCTTATCCTCCGTGCAGCTCGCATAATCCTCCACCTTATCCTCCGTGCAGCTCGCATAATCCTCCACCTTATCCTCCGTGCAGCTCGCATAATCCTCCACCTTATCCTCCACCTTATCCTCCGTGCAGCTCGCATAATCCTCCACCTTATCCTCCGTGCAGCTCGCATAATCCTCCACCTTATCCTCCGTGCAGCTCGCATAATATCCTCCGTGCAGCTCGCATAATCCTCCACCTTATCCTCCGTGCAGCTCGCATAATCCTCCGTGCAGCTCGCATAATCCTCCACCTTATCCTCCGTGCAGCTCGCATAATCCTCCACCTTATCCTCCGTGCAGCTCGCATAATCCTCCACCTTATCCTCCGTGCAGCTCGCATAATCCTCCACCTTATCCTCCGTGCAGCTCGCATAATCCTCCACCTTATCCTCCGTGCAGCTCGCATAATCCTCCACCTTATCCTCCGTGCAGCTCGCATAATCCTCCACCTTATCCTCCGTGCAGCTCGCATAATCCTCCACCTTATCCTCCGTGCAGCTCGCATAATCCTCCACCTTATTCTCCGTGCAGCTCGCATAATCCTCCACCTTATCCTCCGTGCAGCTCGCATAATCCTCCACCTTATCCTCCGTGCAGCTCGCATAATCCTCCACCTTATCCTCCGTGCAGCTCGCATAATCCTCCACCTTATCCTCCGTGCAGCTCGCATAATCCTCCACCTTATCCTCCGTGCAGCTCGCATAATCCTCCACCTTATCCTCCGTGCAGCTTGCATAATCCTCCACCTTATCCTCCGTGCAGCTCGCATAATCCTCCACCTTATTCTCCGTGCAGCTCGCATAATCCTCCACCTTATCCTCCGTGCAGCTTGCATAATCCTCCACCTTATCCTCCGAGCAGCTCGCATAATCCTCCACCTTATCCTCCGTGCAGCTCGCATAATCCTCCACCTTATCCTCCGTGCAGCTCGCATAATCCTCCACCTTATCCTCCGTGCAGCTCGCATAATCCTCCACCTTATCCTCCGTGCAGCTCGCATAATCCTCCACCTTATTCTCCGTGTAGCTCGCATAATCCTCCACCTTATTCTCCGTGTAGCTTGCATAATCCTCCACCTTATCCTCCGTGCAGCTCGCATAATCCTCCACCTTATCCTCCGTGCAGCTCGCATAATCCTCCACCTTATCCTCCGTGCAGCTCGCATAATCCTCCACCTTATTCTCCGTGCAGCTCGCATAATCCTCCATTTTATCCTCCGTGCAGCTTGCATAATCCTCCACCTTATCCTCCGAGCAGCTCGCATAATCCTCCACCTTATCCTCCGTGCAGCTCGCATAATCCTCCACCTTATCCTCCGTGCAGCTCGCATAATCCTCCACCTTATTCTCCGTGTAGCTCGCATAATCCTCCACCTTATCCTCCGTGTAGCTTGCATAATCCTCCACCTTATCCTCCGTGCAGCTCGCATAATCCTCCACCTTATTCTCCGTGTAGCTCGCATAATCCTCCACCTTATCCTCCGTGTAGCTCGCATAATCCTCGCATAGTTGTGAATAATAGTTGTCCTCTGATACTGATTCGTATCAGTACTGCAGCTCCTACTCTGCTTCTTCTTATTTCTGCTGATTCTAATCTCTTTATCCTGCTGCTTCTGCACATTCTTTTGCTCCTCTTTCTCGTTTCACTTTCTCCTCCTTGTGATCCTCCTATTTTTACTTCGTACTTTAATTCGTAAATCTTTATTCCTACTCCTCCTGCTCCCAAGCCTACTCGTTTTTATCCTTGGTTTCGTATTGCTCCTGCACCGCTGATCTGCTTTAAACTGCAGTTGTCTGGTGATGAAGGAGTGGGTCCTCTTGTTCTCTGGCGGGGTTGTGGATCACTACCACTCACTCTCCATGTCTAACAATCATGCAATGTTGTCTTAGTATCCATTTGCTCTCTCTACAGAATGTGTATTCAAGGTTCATATTTTATTTGCTCAGAAGTACCGCTTCACCTCTCTGCTTCTTTCCCGTTTCTCTTCTTGCTATGCAGTTATGCAGTATGATTTATGGAGAATGGCATTTGTAACATTATAGTCAGCTTTATGCTATAGCTACATTGATCTTATCTACCTTACTAACTCTTGCAGTTCCACTGCCTTGGTCGTCTCTACATCAGCATTTGTGTACCAAACCTTTGTCCAAACAATATCTGTGAGCTTGATTATTTTTTGAGAGAGAGGGAGGGAGGGAGGTTTCCTGGTGGGTGCTGGTGAAGTTGGAGAGTGTGCTCTGAGGTAAGTGGTACGGGAGGAGCAGCCGATTGCTTCGAGGAAAAGTAATGACATCAATAATATTATTTATAATTATAATAATAATAGTAATAATAATCATAAGAATGTAAATTTTTATAAAACAATCTGACTACAGTGATCATATATTTGTATTTTCACAAATCCACTAATGACGGTCTTGAGGGATTAGTATTGTCTGTGGGTACAATAACAATTAGTACAATAACAATTAGTACAATAACAATTACATGTATCCAGCACACCTTATAAATATAACATCAGTTAGCTACTGAGATTGTTCCATTAAAATAGCTATGTATTTACAGTTAGTCATTATATATTGTTGGTAGGTCTTGTCGCTAATATATAATTGTCTTGAGCAATGGAGATATTACAGGGCCATAGGGAAGCTGCTGTTTGTTATTATTAGTCTTCCCAATACACTACTTGTTTCTTAACCTCATATGTAGTTTATCTACTGGAAGCGAAATATGGATACAGTGTAAGGATTTCAGGTATTTTAACGTTAGTATTATAGTGACGTGATACACATTTTATGGCGATATTATACACATAATATAGTGACGTACTACACCATAATATGGCGACGTGATATACGTAATATAGTGACGTGATACATGTAATATAGTGACGTGATATACGTAATATGGTGACGTGTATGGGCGCAGGTTTGCCATTTCAAACAAAGTTAGTTTAGATTTATATATAAATGGCTCAATTTTATTAGTCATCTATTTAGCTTATAATACTCTAGCGTGTCCTTGTCTCTGTCCACACACTGTACACTTACTTCATCCAGCTCCTCCTACAAGCCGGACTGCAAGAGGTACCTGTAGCCAAGTCCTGCTGGAGCTGTGATGACATCTGTTAGTCTGTTGGTGTTGTTATTTGTTCCATACACTTGTTTTGTTGGACACGTCTCACTGTGATGAACAGTGGACCTGCTAGTTCCTGTTTATACTGTGATGAACAGTGGACCTGCTAGTTCCTGTTTATACTGTGGTGAACAGTGGACCTGCTAGTTCCTGTTTATACTGTGATGAACAGTGGACCTGCTAGTTCCTGTTTATACTGTGATGAACAGTGGACCTGCTAGTTCCTGTTTGTACTGTGGTGAATAGTGGACCTGCTAGTTCCTGTTTATACTGTGGTGAACAGTGGACCTGCTAGTTCCTGTTTATACTGTGATGAACAGTGGACCTGCTAGTTCCTGTTTGTACTGTGGTGAATAGTGGACCTGCTAGTTCCTGTTTATACTGTGGTGAACAGTGGACCTGCTAGTTCCTGTTTATACTGTGGTGAACAGTGGACCTGCTAGTTCCTGTTTATACTGTGATGAACAGTGGACCTGCTAGTTCCTGTTTGTAATGTGGTGAACAGTGGACCTGCTAGTTCCTGTTTGTACTGTGGTGAATAGTGGACCTGCTAGTTCCTGTTTATAATGTGGTGAACAGTGGACCTGCTAGTTCCTGTTTATACTGTGGTGAACAGTGGACCTGCTAGTTCCTGTTTATACTGTGATGAACAGTGGACCTGCTAGTTCCTGTTTATACTGTGGTGAACAGTGGACCTGCTAGTTCCTGTTTATACTGTGGTGAACAGTGGACCTGCTAGTTCCTGTTTATAATGTGGTGAACAATGGATCTGCTAGTTCCTGTTTATAATGTGGTGAACAATGGATCTGCTAGTCTATGCAGAAAAAATGCCTCATTAGTAACATATTTTCCATTAACCCACAGGTAATAGAGGTTAGGGTAGGGATAATTGTATTGATGTGAAAACGAACAATAAAACATGGCTAAGAGTACGATGCAATACTGAACCAAGATCCAAGTATCAGAGGTTAGGTCCAGGACGGTTGATGCACAAACAATACTTTCTTCCTCCCCAATACACCATACATCGAAGTTAAGTAAAGGGAGGTTATGTGCAGGGTGGCTGACTTGATGTGTAAAACAAACACTTTCCCACCCAATGTAGCTACACTATTGAACATAAATTTAAATTAGGTACAGGTAATTTGGGTTTATACCCAAACACAGCCCTTTTTTCTTACCAATGAAGTTTAAATATTCAACAAAGACCCCTGCAGGTTAGGTTAGGCCCAGGCATTTAGGTATATATACGAAATCAGCACTTTTCTAAGCATATGTTGTAATAGGAGGTTGGGTCCAAGGTGGTTGAGTTGTGGCAATATGAAGAAAATACCTAGCAACAACTCTTCTAATAACAGAATATTAGCAAAATCAGATGTAATCCAGGGTGGAATGGAAGTTGGAAGCATACTTTAACAACTCTAACAGTTTACTCACGCTCTGTTAATGCTTAGGTACATTTAGTAGAATTTGGGGTTTTGGTTGGAATAATTTGGATGATTTTAGCTGATTTTGTATTAGGATAGGTTAGGTTAGGTCTGGTTTGGTGGAAATGAAGATGAAAAAACACATCTGGATATTTGGAAATATCTAGATCAGGGGTGGCAACCTCTGGCACGCGTGCCAAACTTGGCACGCCGATGACTTGTCTCTGGCACGCAAGAGCATAGGTTACCCTAAGCACAGATGCAAGCACATGTTACCCTAAGCACAGACAAAAAAAAAAAAACTACTTTCCTTGGGGTATAAGCTTACATGCCATGACAGTATATGTACGTCCTGGTGGTGAAGAGGTTTAAGCTCTACGAAGCTAAAGAGGTCTCAAGAAAAAGAACTTGATCTTGTTGCCATAGTTACCTTCTTTTTTTACGTCATCGATCATGCCGATGTATGATGATTCCCCTCTATTTACTTTGGCTCATTTTATGTAATAAGCCTTTCTAACCTAAAGGCTGCACCCATAACCATAGTGTACACTGACAATCATATCTGTGAAGGCAAAATACGCCATGCCTGCCCACCTTTAAAAATTAATTTCGTAAACTTTGAATTTAAACCCCCACAACATCTCCCCCCCCCATCCCTAAACCTCATGTGTTTGAATGCCGCCCGACTTCAGTTTGACGCATATTAATTAAACTCACTTTATTATCTAAATCTACAGCATCTTCACCTTCGAAAGCTAAAGAAAGATAAGAATTCTTATGCTCTCCCCTTCTCTCCATTGACGGCCGTAATATAACCAGTGAAATCAACAGTCCCCCACCCCCATGAAGTCCCCATCTTCAGACGATCTCAGACTCGTAACTCTCTCTCGCAGTCTTGCTTCGTAGTGTTTCTCACAGTTGCTCACTTGCCTCCTTCCCGAGAAGGTCAGTACTTCATCTCCAGGTGAAAATTATTCCCCTTATAAATCAATAACTTTGTGAAACTCAATATCATTGCAAGAATAGTCTTAATCCTTAAATTCACACGTACTCGCTCGCCTGCTCCCTAAGAACAGAGCTGACATAAGCAAGATGTCACCGACTCAACGATGTTTCGCCACAACGCACCACACAAACACACAAAAACGGGTTTTGTCTATCGAACCAAGTGAAGTCTTATAAACTCTTGGCATAAGTACTCAATGCCTAGGAAGTAGTGTCTTTGTGATAAGCGGCTGCTGGTGTTGTTTCTGGAATTATGTACAATAAAGAAAACTCTCTAATTTTCATAAAAGAAAAAAAAATCCTCTGAAGATTTTTATTATGTTCATTGTCTCGTCACGCTTACCTCAAACATTGGCTTATTAAAATTATTGATTGGTATTAGAATAAACGTACGTATACTTTACTCTCAATGTTACTAAATATAAACCCGATGTAAAATCTCTGTCATCAGTTATGCAGCAGCAGAAGTCTCACTGACAGTATATAAAAGGAGTCAATAAGTTTTTTATCTGTTGTATTCTATTAAAGTCACAAAAGCTTAAAGGCTGTTGAAATGTACTTCTGAAGGTTAAATAAATTTTTTTTTCTGTTTTTTTTATACTATGTTTTACTGCACTGAGATAATTTATTATTTTTTCGTTTAAAAAGTTCTTAAGAGATACCAAATATGTTCTAAAAAAAATGGTTGGCACGTGGAAAAAGTTTGTGTCAGAGACTTGACTGATTTTGGCGCGCACTCTCAGAAAGGTTGCCCACCCCTGCTCTAGATGGATAGAGCACTAGCTCTATGAAATGGTCTTGGGAACTAGGTAAGTCGTGCTAAAACTGATGTTGGATATTGGAAATATTCATTAAATTTAGATGGAATAGGTGAAAACTTGGGTAAAATGGGCTTTGGCTGTGCTCTGAAGCAAAACATTGGGTATATTTGA